TTCAATGAGACGGAGGAACAAACGGACAGATAGAAGGACAGGCAGATAAACGGACGGGCAGAGAAGTAGAAGTACAAATGAACGGATGAACAGACAGATAGACGGACGGATAGACGGACGGACAGACGAATAGTCGGATAAACGGACAGACAAACAGAAGTTCAATGAGACGGACGAACAAACGAACAGATCGAAAGACAGGCAGATAAATCGACGGACAGAGAAATCTAGGGGCGTGGCAAGTCGTAATACGTATACATATAGAGATTGCAGCCTAGACTTTTAGTGCGAGTATTATGCAGTCAGTCAAGCCCGACTTAGCGCAGACATATTCATATCTTAAGCCTGATCCTAGATATCAGATATGTCTACACATATATTATCACACATCGCTCTGCCTGCAAGGGTATTTGAGCTTCGGTCTGACGAAGCCGTTTTTATGTTTTTGCTTGCTCCATTGAAATGATTTTTATTTAACAAATGCTAATATTAGATAATGCTTGCAGATGACGAGGGCATTGCGGAATCGGGCATGTGAGCTGAACGATTGACGATTGCCACGATAGCCACGCCCACAACTGCAACACCACCTACCCCCACGCCCACCTGCAACCGAAACGTAGAAGCAATGCGATGAATCCGATGTGGCAAACTAAATAATTAAATTTTTACTTAAGATCAACTCGATAAGTAACGCTTGATATTATGCTATCGATATAGCCCATATATATATATATATATACATACATATATGTATGTATGTGTGGTACGACTTGCCTGGATTGGAGCACTTTTTCTTTTTTTTTTTTGGGAGAGAAAAACTGCTTTGCAGAACGATTTCAAAGTCGAAGAGCTATATACATATATAGATATATATAGAGGTATATGTACGTATCTATGTGGTAAGGCGTTGCAAATTTTCTTCGAAATACAATACTATATACCCTTAATATATAGATACAATATACATATATGTATCAATCCAATCCTGTCTCGTCTTGTACTCTGTAAACGCTGCTAATGGAAACTACCGATATTATTATTATTA